GCATGGTCTGATCAGTTGGCTGCCTTGTGATTGAAGCTCAGCTGCTGTGATTGGCTGAGACTCAGCTATTTGTTTCAAAAGTATACAGTCCTCCTAAATCAGGCTTTCAGTTAATTACAAATTATTAGGATAGGACTCAAATTAGGGAGGCAGCCTCAGGCCAAATTTAGTTTAACAACTCATTTTCTTGATCGTGGTGATGCTTCACGGGTATATACATGTCAACTCATCAGATTGTATACTTTAAATATGTACAGTTCATTGTATGTCAATAAAGCTGTTTTTTTTTTAATTACTGTTAGGAACGTGCCGGGCGCTAAGGTTCTCAGACAGCATGCTTCCCCTGGGTAATCTTATCCAGGCACAATTACCATCCATACTTTGAGTCTCAAATAGGCATCTCCAGTTTAGGCCATTCTGCAGAGATTCAGATCTGTTAATCCAATTGCCTTATCAACATCGTCACTTATCTGTTCCATAGGCACCCTAATTTAGCATGCCCAAGGCAGAATTCTTAATATTCCCCCTCAACTTTATTTTTCTGTGTTGTATCTCAGTACAACGAACGGCAACACCATCTACCCAGCTGTGAAAATGACCCGATCATAATTCAGATTTCTTTTCCCTCATCTCCATCATCCCAAATGTATCATGAATCTCTCCTCTTCTCCCCAACATTACATTAATCCAAACTACCCATCACTTCTCTGGCAACAGTCTCCTAATCAGCCTTCTTGCCGCCAAACTCACTCTTGTAGTTCACACACACAAAGCAGCCAGAGATTTTTACAGACATGATCTTTTCATTCCTCAGATTAAAACCTTTCAGTAAATTCTCATTCCCTTGGGATGAAGTACAAACTCTTCAACGTGAGTCACACATACAAGGTGGTCCCTATTTTTGTCCTGACTCCCCTCTGCAGTGGCCGTCTCCTGTCACTTCCCTTCTCACTCTCCTTCCAGTCATAGTTAAAACTGGGGGTCTTTGCAGCAGTTGAAATGGCTTTTCAGTTCCTGTTCTTTATTCAATGGGTGGCCTAACAGCAATAATGAAGAACAGTGGTAGCACAAGAGAGAAAAGCCGGCAAAAGTAATTTTACCAAGTTCCTATATTTCAGTAAGATGTTCTTGTTGTATAGGCAAAGTAGGAAAAAGGAAACACAAAGATGACTCTGGTGGAACTATTTCTAAAGGAGAATTAATTTTATGTGTTCACCAAGCTATCAGCCCCTCTGGATTTTAATATTATAGTGGGGTCATAACAAGCATTTCCTCTATTGTTGGCTTTATACAGACGCAAAGCGGTGCTCAGGAAGCTGGGAGATTGATGAATAGTTGGTCTGATGTATTTGAACCATTCACCACTTTGAGTTAAATGTGCATATTCTGTTCAAAATAGACAATAGGGAGGGGCGGTCCCCCTTTCCCTCGCTAACTTGCATAACATCTGGCCTCACTGCTTTAACTAATGAGTATTTAGAAGCAAAGGCTCCTACTGATTCCAGCGAGTCATTAATTCTCTGCTTGCAGAGCCACCGTGGAGTCTTTCATTGGCCACATTTCTTAGCCTTTACCAAGTTGCTTCTGAGCAGCAGTGCTGACGACCCCTGGGTTTCTGTGTGTACCACACACCAGAAACACAATGGGCTCAAAAGTCCTCTTGAAAGGAATTTTACAGAGGATCAGGAACAAATGCAAAGAAGACGCACATTCTGGCCACTCTGTTGACAAAGGTGTCTTGGAACTCTTAGTTTTAAAGAATTGACTTTGAATGAAAATGTGTATTTAAACCAATATATAACCTGGGAGAAGATGAGTAAAGGTGAGTTACAACATTCTCTTCAACTAATTGCACAGTCAGCATGATCCTTTGTAATAATAAATGTTAGCTTCTTTATCACTCCAGGTTTATTATTTTCTAAATAGCCTCATTGATTTTACCTCAGTGGGCTCTCCATTTTTATACATTACATTCTCTTGGGAATTGAAAAGCACCGTGTGCCTGAAGATGCTCAGTCACCTTGAAAAGACTCATTTTCAAAAAAGTCTTAACCTGCCTTCAACTTGAAGCAATTCAGACTTTGCCCAAACACTAGACCAGAAACGCATCACTCGAGTGTATGTTTCTACCACCACTGGGAAGCCGTTTGTCTGAAAGACCAAAGTTCAAAATTCAGCGCTCTATACTCAAAACAAGAATTTACATATAATTGAGAGCATAACAATTCATTATTCAATGGACTCTGCATTACTCCACAATATATTTTGTGGAAAACCCTGTTATTTTGTTAAGACTCCAGCTACTGAACTTACAGTCAAATCATGTGTGGAAGAAGGGAAAGGCGAAGAAACAAGTGGAAAAGGCTAAGTAAGAAGCAACCCCCTAGCCTCACTCAAATTTAGATAAATCCAAGTTGGAAAGGCCAGAGTTTATTTTCTTTTTAATTTGAGGAGATTTCATTTTATTTATCAATAGTTCCTTGCTATTTAAAAGAAGGAAGAGCAATTTAAATATCCTAAACTCATGACCAAGGTATCCATAAGGACTGGAAGCCCTGTAACTCCAAATAACCGAACTTCAAATAGCCTCACATTTAAAAAACCAAGAATGGTATATCTGACACTAATTGAATCAAAGGCTATTGCAAAGTATGCAAAATGTTTAAACTATTATAAAGGTTGAAAGTTACAGTGTTCTGCATCTCTCTGCTGTTGTCTGAAATTTTAACCATTTTAGTAAGTTTAGCTAAAGTCAATCGAGAGAATCGATAGACTTATCCACATTACTTTTCAAACGGTTAGGTAAAAAAGGGGAAAAAAGGCAAATAAACACTGCAAATTAGTCATCTGTTGACAACATCATACTTCACAAAAGTGCCTCAGCAAGCCATTTAACATGAACTTCCGCAGCTTTTAATCAGTTTTGTATGAAAAGACATGATTTGATTTGGGCTTTCAAATGACTTTATCAATCATTCCCACGGTTCCAAGAATACTAAAAAAACAATTCGTTCTTAGGACAAAAGGTTTGCCTATATTAACCTTCAACACACCCAGACATCCAAAGGCAGCACTTGCTTTCCCATCAAAACGAGAAAATGTTAGCAGCTAAAAATATAAGTATGTGCAAAGATTTTGAAACTTCTTTCAAAACTATTACCCTGGAACAATGGCAATAGTTGGGATTTCTCTTTTTCAGAGGGAAAAGACAGAGATTCCAGCCCTCCTCCTCACTGCCCCCAAAGATTTTAGTCGCAGGGTTTATTTGTGCTGAAAACCAGTTATCTACAGCTTGAAACCTAAGCAGAACGCATCAGCATTTTGGGACCACCTGGGACCAAGGGGGGCTGGGAGACTTCCAGATGGATTGCAAGACAATTCATTGATATTTACATAACGAGAATAAATGTTTTTTCTACGATAGCATTTCCCTTCAGTGTCTTGAGACCACCAGCAAGAGAGGGAGGTTCAGAAATTCTATTACATTAATAGTCTTTGTTTTTATGACTTTGGCATTTATTAACTAGTGGGAGCTGTTTATTGGGTCATAAACTCTACTAATGGGGATATTATCTCTAAATTATAAATCTTCAGTATACGGCTTAGTTATAAAAAGAACAATTATTTAAAGTGTCTGTATGGCTGCAATGTATCATGTTTATCGGCATGATTCCTATAATGGCCATTTCAGAGCTAATTGTGGGCTTGAACCAGAAACAACCAGGGCAGTGACACACACCTATGCAATAGAATGAGCAGTTGCCACCGCACAACCCCAGGAGCATTATCATCGGTTTCCTTTCCTTTTCTCCCCCAACTTCTCAAATGAACTACATTACAAGCCTGTGCAAGGGCTAAATTATCTGCATATTTAAACTCTTGAGGGAAAGACAACTGACTGAAGAGCTGAATAGGTAAGTGATGAATGTGTCAGCTTGAAAAGTTCCAGGAAAGTGTCATCCTTCTAAAAGCTTGCTCTCTGGGGAATGGAAAATCTTAAAGTGACAAAATGGCTTGGCACTGTCAGTTGTCTTGAAAAAAACTGGGACAAAAATCAAGTAGTCAAAATTAGGTTTTATGGATAGATGGTTCTAGTATATAAATGGAATACACTAGTTTAGTGGAAAGTCCTAGGGGGTCTAGTCTAACCATAGCACACGTGAAATTACCCTAGTTTATATATAGAAATAGTTTATTGATTTACTTCAATTTTTAAAAATGAAAGCACCATTGTCGTTGAGTAAATCGGTACATCTGAATGCCAAAAAGCCAGCTCGTTTCTAGGCAAGACGCTGCTGCAAATGTGGAGTGAAAGAATAATGAGTCCGAAGATCCCTTGAGATGTCATCAGCTCCTCTTCCTCTTCTCAGAAAAGCCCCTGAAAAGTAAATAGTGCAGTCTCTTCTTAATAGACCTCCATTGTCTCTGAGAATGCCAGGCAAATGGATTTATGATACACAGCACCCGAACTGAAGAATGGGGTGGACTGAAATACACTGCTCACACTGAACTCCCAAAGGTGTGTGGCTGCGGGTTATAGTTTTTGAATATTTAAACCTCTGGAGTGGTCGTGGATAGATTGTGTGTGTGTGTGTGTGTGTGTGTGTGTGTGTGTGTGTGTGTGTGTGTAAAATGAACTCCCTGCAAGAAAAAAAATCTCAAAATCTTCATCATTCCCATCCATAAATATTTTAGACATAATACATTTTTGGTCATATCATAATTATATACACATGCATATATTCCTAAGCTAACAAGCTGACTTCACATAGAAAAAGGGCATTGAAAATATAAACACTGCAATGTTTGGGTTTTGCTCCCAAATTTTTATGTGTGTGTATTGAGGGGGAGGTTCCTTTTATTCCCATAGCTTTACTACCCTACCTTCAGAAAATAAACACATTCACTCTAGAGAGGTTCAAGAATCATTTTGATGAGGTGGGTTGCTAAAAAACGTAATTATATAAGTAATAAACATGTGTCAAACAGATTGAAAAATATTTAATAGAATCACAATTTATTGCTGATATAATTTGATGTTCTATTGTCATGTATAGCCATCAATCATTTTCTGTTCATATTGTAGTGAATCAAATGATTTTGGATGAAAAGTTCTTTGGTATTAATAAATCATACATGTAAGAAAAATATCCGACGTGTTTTTAAATGGCATTTTTAATAGTGCCAATACATCAGCAATATAATATGATGTTCTGAAAAACAAATGTGACAAAAGATGATTAATTGTGGTTCATGGATTGCTATTCAATTTGAACCTTGTTTCTTTTTTGTTTTTAAGAAATTATATCTACGAAAACAAATTTGGCAAAATTAGAGAAGTAAATCAAAGAGAACTGGCTAAGACTGGCATGGTTACTCCTCCTCTAAGCCAAATACATCCTTCAAAAGGGTGAAGTAGTTAATGCATTTCGCAGGAATAGGTGATGGCATCCCAAACCAAACATCTTCACATTTCTAGAAAAAAAAACAAAGATGGATATAATTAGAAACATATTTCAAAGTGCAGTTTTGAAAATTCAACATCAAATTGCTCCTTGTCATTCTATAAGCTTTTGGTAAACAGTTTACTTTCAAAGCAAAAATTTCTACTGTCCACTTCAGGATCATAAGGACTTGACGGTAGACTGGATTCTTGTTCTTGATTCTTTGCTCCTTCTTTGAATTACATGCCCACACTCTTTTTTTTTTTTTTTTGAGATGGGCTCTCAGTCTGTTGCACAGGTTGGAGTGCACTAGGATCATCACAGCTCATGGCGGCCTCAATTTCTCGGGCTCAAGCATCTCTTCTGCCTCAGCCTCCTGAGTAACTGAGACTTACAGGCACACCACCATGCCCAGCTAATTTTTTTTTGTAGAGGCAGTCTCATTACATTGCCTAGATTGGTCTCAAACTCCTGGGCTCAAGCAATCCTTCTGCCTCAGCCTCCCAAAGTGCTGGGATTACAGGCTTGAGCTACCACACCCAGCCCACATGCTCTTTGTCATATGACTGCAGAACCTCCCATGGAGTAGGAGGAGTACATTTTCCTATCCTTTTGATATGTGGTTGGCCATATGCCTGGCTTTGTCCTATGTACTGTTAGCAGATGCATCATGAACAGATGCTCTAATATGCTGGTGTCATCTGGCTTGGCCTTCTGTGCCTCTGCCATCACCAGGAGAAGAACGTGGCCAGAAATGCTGACCAGGCCCAACTTGCAGTCTACAGCCAAGCCCCTCTAAATTCAGCTAACCTCGACTGACCTACAGGGGCCACGGACAAGAAAACTGAATGTGTCTTGTAAACCACTGAAATTTTAGGAGTTGTTTGTTATGCAGCATGATTGCAGTGAAAGCTTCTCCTATACTTTATTAAGAACTCAATTTTTTTTTTTTTAAAAAAAAAGCAGGATTTATTAAGAGGACAGAAAAGTTCCCACAGTGGGAGGGGACCGGAGGGGGTCGCCCAGAAACTCAATTTTAAAATACTAACTGGTAGCTAGACTGGCTGCTTGGTTTATTCAATAAACAATAAAGAGAACACTAGATCGCTCACAGTATGATCTTGGGTATAAGGAACTTGATATATATATATACATATATACACGCATATACATACTTCACGTATATTATATAGGATACATATATGTGTGTATATATGCACACACACACTTTTTATATATGCTGCAATGGTCAATTAGTATTAATATCAACGGGGAGAAAGTCCATAACTATGGTTGCTTGTGTTTTTATTGTCAATGTTGTTTTATATAAGACATTCTATATCTTTACTAATGTTACATTAGTATCCAGAGTCATGAGGTGTCACAGGAATACAGGTAAAGGCTCAATAATTCAATGTGATGGAATTTTAGAAGCTGAGTAAGTGGTGCTTCAGTTGGGCCTTATGGGATTAAAAGCAGTTCAGCAGGGGGTTCAACTCATGAAGGATGTTCCAGCATAGGGAACAGAACAAGCAAAGACCTGGAGATCTAAAAATCAACTTCTAGGAAAGGCTAAGAAGCCCTGTGAGGTTTGGAGCACATGGTGCAAAGTGGCAATAGAGGTGGTTGGAAGGAGAAGCTGGGGCCAAACTTTTGGGCTTCTGTGCTAGTTTATACTTTAGGTTATGATTAGGGGAAGTCACTAGTGGGTCTCAGCCAGAGGAATGACAGAAATCTGAGAAACTGATTAGATAACTTGTTAGATGTATAGAGAATGAAGTGAAGAAGAAAAATCAATTTGAAGGTGACTGTAATTGTCCTGTAGAGAGATGACTGTGCCATAACCAAAGCAGCTGAACCTAAAATAGACAACAGGAGTGACATCTGAGAGATTCTGCTGCAGGAGGACATAGGCTACCTAGAAGTGATGGATCTTAAATGGTGGTAAAAGAGGGTGTAGTGTTATGGGTTGAATTATGTAAAGTTCTACCTCCCGGTACCTCAGAATATGACCTTATTCGGAAATAGCTTCTGTAGATGTAATTAGGTAAGTTAAGATGAGGAAGATGAGGCCACAATGGAGTAGTGTGGGCCCGTAGTCCGATATAACTAGTGTCCCTATAAAAAGACAGCTTGTGAAAGCACAGACACACGGGGAGAATGTCCTGCTGACACCTAGATTTTGGACTGCTCGCCTCCAGAACTGTGGGAGAATACATTTCTGTTGTTTTAAGCCACCTGGTTTGAGGTACTTCATTAGGGCAGCCCTAGGGAACTAATACAGATAAGGATGGTTCTAAGAATTCTAAATTTAATTATAGTTGACTGTGTCTGTATTCATTTCCTTGGCTTGTAGGTCTTGTGTGTGTCTTTGTGTCTTTACATGGCCTTCCTGTAAGGACAGGTCCATCCTAAGCCAGTATGACTTCATTTTAGTTAGTTACATGTGCAAAGACCCTATTTCCAAATAAAGCTACCTTTTGAGGTTCAGGGTAGACATGAATTTTAGGGAGTGGGGGACAATATTCAATCTAGTGCGATAACATATGGAAAAAAGGAAGAAGAATTTAATTTTTTTTTTTTTTTGGTGAGGAATTCAAACTCAGAGAAAGATGTTAAGTTCAATCTTGAACACTTTTTATTTCAGGTGCCCATGGGACCTCAAAAGGTGAAGATTCTGGTAAACATCTGGAAATATGGTTCTGTATACCACAGAGCTCGAGTCTAGAACTGTGTGAAGATGTGGAAGTCACTGGAATATGAGTAATATGTAAAAGTATGGCAATTGATAACATTGTCATAGAACCAGAAGATAACCAAATACTGGCATCTCTAAAGCATAAAATCTTAATTTTTTTTTTTTTTTGAGTTGGAGTCTCACTCTATCACCCAGACTGGAGTGCAGTGGCACACTCCCGGCTACCGCAGCCTCGACCTGCTGGGCTCCGGCGATCCTTCCGCCTGAGCCTTCCAAGTAGCTGGAACTACAGGCGCACGCTACCACACCCGGCTAATTTTTTGATTTATTGTAGAAATGAGGTCTCGCCAAGTTGCCCAGGCAGGTCTTGAACCCGCAGGCTCAGGCAATTCACTCACCGCGGCCTCCCAAAGTGTGGGATTACAGGCTGAGCCACCGAGCCCAGCAAAACCTTAATTTAAGAGATGATTTATGGCCGGGCTCGGTGGCTCAGCCTGTAATCCCATCACTTTGGGAGGCTGAGGTGAGTGGATTGGATTGCTTGAGTCTGTGGGTTCGTCACCAATCTGGGCAACTTGGCGAGACCTCGTCTCTACAATAAATCAAAAATTATCTGGGCATGGTAGCATGCCCCTGCAGTTCCAGCTACTTGGAAGACTGAGGCGGAAGGATAGCTGGAGCCCAGCAGGTTGATGCTGGGGTGGCCATGTGGGTGTCACTGCACTCCAGTCTGAGTGACAAAGTGAGACTCCAACTCAAAAAAAAAAAGACGATTTATAATGATGATGAACTTATTGCAGACTTTTGCAGGGTTATAGGCATCTTATAATTACCTAGTAGTAACAGTAACAATAATAATAGATGTACTGGATATTTACTATATGACAGGTACTCTTTTAAGTCTTTTACATGTATTAAACTATTTAATCATCACAGAAAATCCTTAAGAGGTAGGTATTATTATAATAGCTTATTTACAGAAAATAAAACTGAGGCATAGAAGGGTTAAGTAGACTGTCAAAGGTCAAACCACCAGCTAGTGGAGGAGCCTGGACCCCAGCAGCAGGACTCCAGGGCTATGCTTATCTGCTGGGCTACCCGCCAAAGCCGAGCAGTGGAGTTGGCCTATTGAGAAGCAATTGACTCCTTTCATACATAGCTATATTTGTTCCATCATTTTTTTTTTTTTTTTGAGTTGAGTCTCACTCTGTCACCCAAGCTGGAGTGCAGTGGCACTCTCATGGCCTGCTGGGTTCAGGTGATCCTTCAGCTTCAGCCTTCCAAGTAGCTGGAACTACAGGCACATGCCACCATACTTGGCTAATTTTTTTATTTATTGTAGAGATGCGGTCTCACCAAGCTGCCCAGGCTGATCTCGAACCTGTGAGCTCAGGCAATCCTCTCACCTTGGCCTTCCAAAGTGCTAGGATTATAGGCGTGAGCCACCGCTCCCGGTCTGTTCCATCATTTTCAACAAGGAAAAGTAAGTAGAAAAGAACACAGTTCTTAAAGTGACATCACCTACGCCTCCCTATCAAGAATGTCATCTGTCGAGTTGATCCTAAACCACCAACAAGCAGTGTGAAGAAGCAAATGACCATTCAGGTGCCCATGACATGGCCTTCATGTCATGGCTAAACCAAATCCAATTCCTAAGGGGTGTTTTGTGCAACTCATACCACATGGAATTTAGTAAAATGTCCTTCCTTCCTTACACCAAAAGGTAGTAAATTTCTCTCTCTCTCTCTCTCTCTATATATATATATACACAAATATATATATATATATATTTTAGTGACAGCTGAGATCAATAGTCATTTAACTCCACTACCAAACACATCCTCAGAAATATAATTACAAAACTTAAAGCAATTTTTGCTCTTAAGTGGTATTTTTAAATTCAATCTTGTTATATAGAAATAGTACAAATATATACATTCAAAAATCACTATTCCCTGATAGGTTTTTAAATAAAAGGTTTCAGTATAGAAAGAATAAAACAGCCGGGCTCGGTGGCTCAGCCTGTAATCCCGCACCTTTGGGAGGCTGAGGTGAGTGGATTGCCTGAGCCCGCGGATTCGAGACCCACCTGGGCAGCGAGACCTCATCTCTACAATAAATCAAAAATCAGCCGGGCGTGGTAGCGCATGCCTGTAATTCCGGCTACTCGGAAGGCTGAGGCGGAAGGATCGCCGGAGCCCAGCAGGTCGAGGTTGCGGTGGCCGGGAGCGGCCACTGCACTCCAGTCTGGGTGACAGAGTGAGACTCCAACTCAAAAAAAAAAAAAAAAAGAATAAAACACATTATGCAACTTGTATAATTATGATGAAATT